TTTTAACCTAGAGGGCGTGTTGTGATCTGTGGGGGAAACCAGAGTACCCGGAGGAAACCCACGCATGCATGGGGAGAACACGCAACTCCACGCAGCCAAATTTCGAACCTGCAACCTTCTTGCTGCGAGGCAGCAGTGCTAACAACTGCGCCACCATGCAGCCCATTACATAAAAGTCATGAGGCGCTTCACTAGAAGAAAAAAATGATTCAAAAATATCATAAAATTGGGAAAAGTAACACAAATTTTAAAGGTGAGGAAAGGCAAAGCGAAAATGAAATAAGAACGAGGTATCGGTGGATCCCTGGAAAGGCAGCGTTGGTAGAAAGAGCAGAATAAGAGGGTGGTGATGAAGGTCACACCAAGCCTGCCTGAACAGGTGAGTTTTCAGCTTCTTCTTAAAGGAGACCACTGAGTCTGGGGCCACAGCAGAAAACGATCCGTCACCTTTGGTCTGAAGGGATCGTAGTTGTTGCAGCTGAATTATATATTTAGAGGTTTGCATCCCAAACACGGCGTGCTGAGTGTTCCTTGTGTCGAGCATCTTGGGTAACATCCTTATTTTACCAGCAGCTCCATGAGCTTCACACACAGAGCCAGCCTCCTCATCAGTTTGTGTCTCTGCTGCTGCCGCCTCACAAGAGCCGCCTGACCTAAACCTTCTGAAGAGGTCTGCTTTGTCCCTGAAACAGACGCAGTGCTGCCTTCCCAGTGCCATCTGTAGTCATGCCGAACACTCGGGTATCTGCAGCCACTTCAAGGCAGGAAGGAAGCAGGGCTCAGCGCATTCCTGTTTCTCCCAAAACCCACAGAAAGGAATTTAACGTCACTCCAGAGTGGTGCTGCTGTCAGGCGGTGACAGGAAGCAAGTAAATCTGCACAGGATGGAGTTTAGAGGTGTACAGTCATCTGGGTTGTGTTCTCTCTCTCTCAGTCACACACACGCGCACACACACACGCACACACACTGTCATCTGTCAGATGTGATATAAACCTGCATGGCTGCAGATGCATCCACCGATGTTCTCTGCAGCGTTCCACATGATCATGCAGGCTGACTGTGTTACACTTTGTACCTTTTACTTTTCTGCTGTGAAGCAAAAAACTGTTGCGTTAAAAATTTTAAAACTATTCCAGAATGTTTCAGTTGCTTTGATGAGTCAGAAGAGGAGAAAGAGCAGGTGTGTGTGTGTGTGTGTGTGTGTGTGTTTGTTTTATCTCAGGGCTTCAGGCATCATTAGTCCCAGCAGTGGCCTTCCTTTAACAAGCCCCTCATCAATACTGCAGCTCCCTCCCGTGCGTGTTTTTGTGTGTGTGTGTGTGTGTGTGTTGTATCTGCGTGACATGCGCGTTTGCTTTAGCGTCGTTATTTCTCCTCTCCCTCAGCTCTGAATTATTCATCGTCTGGAGGCCTGTGTGTGCTTGTATCACTTACGTTGCTCCTGGTTGTGTGTGGGCGTTCGTGCAGGTGCGTGTGCGCACCGTGACCCGACCCTCACCGTGGTTCCTCAGGTTGCTGTCCAGGTTGCTAACCAACGGCAGCTCCTAGCTCCCCTTCTACCCTCCTTCCCTTTTTTTTACATTTATTTCTTTATTTTCCCGTCGGCCATCTCGTCCTCTCTGTGATGTCAGCTGTGTGTGTGTGTGTGTGCGTGCGCTCTGTCTTGGACTGTTTGTTCACCCTGATGTTTTGGAGCTCGTGAGGGGCCCCGATAGGGTGATTATGGATGGAGGGGCTTGGTTACCCCATAGGATTCGCCACCTGCCTCGCTGGCACCACACAGGCTCCTACCAGCTTTACCCAGGTGAGGTGGGATCGGGAGCTTTCATGCACACTTGAAGAAAACAAGCGAACATGCTCACTGGAAGCAGGAGAGTTTGAAGTTGGTTTATTTTGCTGATTGACTTTATCGTGTTTGTGGTTTTTTTATCTCATGACTTAGATTAGAATGAAAGTCTCAGGAAGTCTGAATTAAGCGTACATGAACAACAGATTGGTAGCGAACATAAAAAGAGCCGTTTTAGGGATGTTGAGCAGAATTTTGTTTTTGCAGCAGCTGAGCGGCGTCTCAAACGGTTTGTGCTTTTTACCTACAACGTTGGTTTTAACTGTTGGGAGGGATGCTCTGTTTGCTACCCAAATGTCTAAATATCTCATAAATCACTGCATGAATTTAAATAAAATTCAATGTTCAATTCAGTTTATTTATGAAGCGCTAAATAACAACAAGAGTCGCCTCAGGGACCTTCACTGGGGGCAGCAGTAGCTCAACAGGTTGAGCGGGTTGTCCAGTAATCGGAAGGTTGCAGGTTCGATCCCGGCTCCAGACAGAGAACTCTGCTGTTGTGTCCTTGGGCAAGACACTTAACCCACGTTGCCTGCTGGTGGAGGTCGAAGGGTCCGGTGGCGCCTGTGCTCGGCAGCCTCGCCTCTGTCAGTGCGCCCCAGGGCAACTGTGGCTACATCGTAGCTCATCACCATCAGTGTGTGAATGTGTGA